CATTGTTTCAATTTTAATTGTTTTGTAAGCTATATAATAGTGGGATGACGTTAATTTTTTTTTTTTATCTTCAGCACCTAACAGATTATAATCTAGAAGCTTTGTTAAACTAGAACAGTTAGCCCCAAACCTGCTGCACTTTATAACTTGAGTATTAAATATTTAAAGTACAACTCCAGATGCAACCAGATAACTCCCTTTTTAAAAATGTTGCCAGTAAGCAACATTTACTGTTGGAATCCTCCTTACAATTACTGTTCTTGAACTTATTAAATAGAGAAAGCAGATGAAGTTTGTAACAGCTAAAGGCCACAAAGAAGCCACAGAAATATGACTACAGGCAACTGCACACTAAATGAGGAGTTGTGCAGTAGGCCTTATATCCCTGGGACTATGCTGTTGAACATAGATAAAACACTGGTTACCTTTATTTTAAAAGGAACCAATCACTTTTTTATTGTTTATGAGCAAAACATTAAAGCTGAATTTAAGATAATAAGCAGTGATACAAACATTTGATATTGCAGTAACATTTCTTAATTTTGTGACAACTATGCATTTGTTCTTATGTATAGCATATATGTATGCATAAAAATATAGTAAGTTTGTATACACTAGGGTACTTAAATGCTTATGGAAAATGAAATTAAAGGATATGAAAGTTACTAAGTCTATAATATTTTTACTACATATTTTAATGAACATTTTCAGAACCCATGTATGCATGGATTCCAGAATTTTGTGTCAGTATATTTATCCTTTGATGCCATTTCCCATGAAGTGTTTAAAGCACCCTAATGTCAGAAGTAACATGTGAACTAGATGTTTCTACAACCTACCTTGCATGCCATGGAATCAGAAATCACACAAGTGAAAGCTTTCTCTCTCCTAATAGCAAAAGCAGCATTACAAGCTTATGGAAATTATTGTAGAGAATAAAGAGTTATGCTCCATTAAAACTAAATTTACCTTTATCTGTTCTCCATAGATACTATGTTCAAACTGCTTCCCCTTTTCTCCTTTCTGTTGCTTTTCCCCATAAATAGTTTCCTCACATCAGAAAGCCGGAAGAGCTCCTTTGTACAAAACAAAAACATAAAAGATCATCCATGTTCTCAGAGTTCTTGGACATGACTATAGGTATATTTGTTCAACTAACATTGAAAATTGCCCCCCTAGAGACAGCACCTGCTATTTACAAAGCCTTGAGCCAAAGGTCAGCATGAACTATTTGCAGCACAGATGTAGGGGCACTTTGGGGTTGCCCTGTATTTGTATCCCTTATCTCCAACACCCCCTATGAAGTGAGTGGGAGCAGGTGGTGGTCTCCCCATCTATCATATGAGGACGCTTCAAAAAGTTCACATTCATTATTTTTCGTAACATTTTACATGAGCTTTTTCATAGAACTCGCATATGCATGCAATTTTTTAATTACATCAAAATAAACGGAAACCATTTTCCATGATCTATTTTGATGCTCCCTGATACCGGTAAGCCATGATAGTTAACTTGTGCTTGTCTTCACCATCCAGCTGAAACTGAGCTCCAGTTTCTTAACCTCTGATCCTGAAAGGTAGTTAAAATGTATAATGTTAATGAAGTACAGATTAAACCCACTTGCATTAAAGAAAATGTTTCCTTTCTTTGTTTTTAGAGTAGTTCTAGTCCTCCTCCATTTTCAGCTTTTGCAGAAAGTAGGAATGAGGATTAGTGAATAATAACGTTGCCATGATTGCAGCACCTGTGTGATTTTTATTGGCTAGTTCTGTATTAAGGATTTCTTCCAGCTGAAAGTCTCCCTCATCAAATGGTTTTTATTAATTTTGACTTGGGTTGTTTCACAACAAAAACCTTGATTCGGCCTAGCCTTGTGTGTTAAACTTCTGATCTAAAAATTTTGTTTACTTTCATCTATTATCTTACCCATTTCAGGTTTTTTTAATTTCCATGCCAATGGCAGCAAGCATTCAGAGTAGGAGGGTAGCTTGGATTGTCCTGTTGTTGCTAGTCGTCAAGTTTGTGTATGCTGGCACTAATAAGTCTTCCCTAGAGAGCTCCTTTAAGAAGTGTCTAACCTGTTATAAGGATATACAGGAATTAAGTGTTCTAGATTCTGGTTACAATTGCAGATGCTAATAGCACTGCTGTGAACTTTATCATCTCAAGCATAGAAAACACCCTGTTGTGCACTCAGAAGTACAGCTGAAGTACTTCAAGTCGATTATCTATTATTTTTGTATATATGTCTTCCAAAGTAAGTACATCAAATTAGGTTGCTTTAATGTTATTTGACTTGATTGCGTCAAATTTGGAAAATTATAAAGAACAGCAAGCTCCTGAAAGATGAATTATCTTAACTATAATTTTTTTTAACTGAATTAAGTGTTTTCTGAAGATAATCTGCCCAAAAGTAAACTTCAGGTTTTAACTTGCCCTATTTAATATGTGATAAGGAATGTAGTTTTACTTCAATTTAGCTATTAATTTTTCTCTCTGTTACCTGGACTTTTAAAAAATTGTTCTAAAAAGCATTGTTTTTACTAATGGGGATTGATAATTTTATTAACTGGATCATGTGTGTGTACAAAATTTATATTCTGTCTGGAAAAAACTAGTTTTGTGCAACTATGAATTAGGGTTTCTTCAGCGAGACAGATATCCTTTCCTATATAGTACAGGAGTCTGTCTGCTCTAGATAATCATTTTCTAGTTTGCTAAGTTTAGTATACTGGAACCGTGCTTTCATATTCACATGTGCTTTCTGCCTAATTTTTGTATAAACTCAATAAAATAAACTAAGATATTCATTTACAGACCTTCAAGAAGTAGAGCATTTTAAAAGCAGGTAGGTGTCTCCACCCTACTTTTCATGAAGCATTTTCGCCATTCAAGCAGACTTTTAAAAACAGCTTGTTTTGATAGCAGACTGTTCTCCTGTGTGCCTGCAGCCTTTGCTTCCTGGCAGCACCTTTGGTGCGAAAAGAGAGTGATCAATTGGGAGACTATCAGTGCCAGCATGCATAGAGTGATAAGTTAACACACCACTGGGAATTTCTAGGGCCCACCAAGATACTTCACTTCTAATGTGCTAACAAGCTCATTTTTCTACCTCTTGCCTCTTCAGTTATTTTTTTTTTCTCAGAAGAGCTTAGAAGTTGAGTGCATCAGGCATAATGAAAAGCTCTGTAGGAGGGAGAAGCAATAACCCCATTTTTCCCTTTTCAGCCAAATAGAAAATTAGTTTCTGGTAATACACAAAGGCCAGTATTTTTTGTACAAGGGGCACTGCTGTGAATCAAAGGACTCTATTAACTGCAGAAAATTCGGCAGCTGTGAATCTCCCCCAATGAAAAAAGTACTTTCCAACAAGTTGTGAGATATGTGGTATTATTTAGATTGAACCATCAGTTTCATCCTCTCCCATTTATAACCATATACCCTCTTTAAAGTGTGCTGTATCAGTGGTCTTCCATGTCAGGACTCAAAGATGTCTATGTTATTTTCCCATAAAATCCCTACCACCCATTATTTTCATATAGCCCGGTCACTAATCATTTCAGAAATAAAATTCTTTTGAAGCTCAGCCCAGAGTATGGAATTGGCAATAATGAATTTCAAGGAAGTGGAGTTTAGGTTATTTCAATATTTGATGCATACTGTAAATGATAATACAACAAGAGTATGTAAACCATTACAGGGTGAAAGATTTTCACAAAGTCAAATACATAATCAACATCTAGAGCCTTCTCTTTTACACTGTCCTCACAATCAACTTTAGTATCTCTTAAAATCTGTCATTAAAAGTATTTTGCATGATTTTGGCTATGGACATGGCTTGCAATTTCTAAAGCAATGTAAAAAAAAAATTTGAGGTGGAAATGTTACTGTAGATTTTGGGAGAGGGAAGAAGAACCAATATGCAAATTTTTGTTATCCTGGTTGAAATGTCATATTCACTTTATTATCATTGTTTAAATGTCAACACAGCACACTGAGTACAGCAGGAAAACTTTTCAAAGTTGGGGAAGAAAGGTTAACTGATTTCTCAGTTCAGGAACTGTACGACATGAAGTCAGCATGTGAATTTTTCCTGATAATTGTATGTTGCTGCCTGCTGCTCTACTTTTTGACAGCCATTTCCATAGTTGCTTTCGTGAACAACAGACATATTCTCTCTCTTTCTCGCCCTCTCTGTGCTAACGGCACAATCAGACCTGCTGAAACAGGAAGCCTGGAGTGGGTTGTTCAAAAGCAGCAACACTCCAAGGTACTGGTTGCTTGTCAATAGTATCAGAGGAGAAAATGTGCTGAAAGGGAAGTTGCAGTATTTTCCTGTCAATGTCAGTGCCCTGTCGATGCTTTTGTCAGACAGTGTTTAGGAGTCCCGTGGACTCTTAGCAAATACTCCGGCTTGTTTCAGTCTTATAATTGACGAGGTATTTTTTCCTGACACACAGATTCAGCTATGCATTTATCTTAGCTGCATGGAGGTATTCAAGGATTAGAGCAACAGTAGTCTTCCATTCAAAAGGAGAACGATTATTGTAAAAATGCAGGGATTTTAGAAAAGGGAAGAAGATATGCAGGAATTTTGCACAATAAGTCTGTACAAATGGAAAATACAGAATTGAGGGCATAGTATTTTCCAGTGTTTGGTGTATTGCCTGGCTTTGAGCGTCAATCTGCAGATGGAAGCTGATTAACAAGATAAGCCTAGGCTGACCTGAAGTAAACTGTTAACTTCCTTCCATCCAACAATTTAGTATTAACATGATTATTTTCTAATACATGTCTTTCTATTAAGCTGTCACTTATCCAAAAAAGAAAACTGACATTGAAAACTATATTGTATGTTTTAAAAAGCCATTGTTTTAGCGAAAAAAAAAACTCATATTTATTAAGAAGTAATGGGTTAGTAATCATAGTTTTGTAGTTTTTTGGATGGGTTCTGGTTTTTTCTAATACATTTAAGATAATCCTTAACCAAGGGAAACCAGCTATGAGGAGAGAGCGCGGTACCTGCAAACAATTGTTCAGCACCATTTAGAGCCAACAACGTTTGAGGATTTCGCAGCGCAGGTTTTTTCTCCAGCTCCCTACCACCATTTACCATCCGATGCTGGTAAGAATAAAAGCAAGGATTAGTTACTTGTTGTTGGAACCTGAAATGCAATACCCTTTTGTTCTTAAAATGAGCTTGAATAAAATCCTAATCACTGAAATATTTTTCATCACTACTTGATTTTGGCCTGTAAATTTGACCTTATTTACCTAAATACAGCTCCTTAAAAAGTCAATAATACTCATAAAAGTACAGGCACTGCATTGTATCTGAGTTAATGGTTCCCAAGCCCTACATCTCATGGGGTCATTACTAACATATCCACCCAAAAAAAAAAATTTGAGCATGGAAACGCAGTTGGAGAGAATCAAGTTTTATAGCCAAGAATATCATCTTGGCATCTCTGATTTTATTAGTGAAGCTAAAAGAACTTATACTTTACTATGTTAAGTACTAGTAAATCTAATTATATAAAGATTTTTAAGAGGGTACTGCATTTTTATAGTAAGCTAATTTTGAAGAAATCAGTAAAATAATAAATGACTCGTGGCCTTCCTATTCTGTAATATCTTGCACTCCTTATGATTGTTTCATTTATTTTATTTTCCCTCTTTAGATCATTAAATATCAGTTCTGTTTATCTGAAGGTAAGACAAAGTATCAACCAAAACACCCTCCGTTCTTCTTCCATTTCCTTTTGTCAAAATCAGCAAGCTCTAAGCTTGAAACTCAAAGAATAAGCGACTTAACACTGCCCTGGTTCATACTAAACATATCAAATTGTCACTAAATTTTTTCCAGATTTATACTAACTAACCCAGGTCTGCATGGAACACTAACATGGTTTGGGGATAAAATAACTACTAATAGAACCCTTCGGTTAAAATTAGTTTATACCTTTCTCATATTGAATTTTTTGTTTTCTCAGCATGAAAAAAAAGTACCATTGAACTAAAGTGAATGTCTTTGTATTTTGTAGTGTGTTGCATTGCTCTTAGCTATCTTAATTCATCAAATGGTTCTCTTCTGTGCCTTACACTGCACTAGGCACCTGCAACGTAAAGATGACTATTGTAATGCTCAGGAAGAGCAGAAAAGCCCATTGCAATAAGCCTTTGCATCTCTTCATATTAAGACTTTATATGAAATAAGTATAAAAGGCCTACCACTCCTTTTCTAACCTAATTTGAAAAAAGAAATTTTACCAAATTGTTGAGGTTTAGTTAATAAAATTTCCCTTTCCTGACATTAAACTGCCACTAGAAAAATAATTTTACCAGAAAACTGAAATCCCTTTTAATTAATTGATGAGTAGCGAAGAGAAAAACATATCAGACTAGAAACCTGTAGACTATTTTTATAAAACTGATAAAACCTATGAAACTTGCTTTAATGGATTGGTACTATGTAAAATTACTTAGGTTGACATGAAAAGTAAATGTCGCAATCTTTTTGATAAATATCAAATATGAGTGAACACTTCTGTGTATCACATAGTGAAGTCATAAATTTCACAAGGATAATAAAGGACTATATTAGAACAAACTTTTAAGTGTGTAAAAGCGACTCAGTTGTCACAGTGCAGTTCTTTGCCAGCTGGAGTCCTTCCTAATTGTCATCTTGATGTCCTTCTCACACGTTACATGGCACCCTACCCACGGGGCCAGGCACAGCCTATGGGGAACAGGCAGCGGCCAGGCCAGGCTCTGCCGGCCGCACTTCTGATGCGTCTTACTGATTTTTTTCTACAGGTTGTTTGACATTAACACCATTTTCTTAATGGTAGTAAAATGTGAATTCTAACAAAAACCTGAAAGCATGCTGCAGAGTTTCCCAGTTGATTTTCAAAAAGTGACACTGCTGTTGGGAACTGTAAGAGGGACACACACTCATTTTCAAGGGTGTTTTTACTTGTAAACAACAATCAATATTTCTGAATACATCTCTGTACAGGATTTTTTTCAGACATTACTAGTTATGAACTTTATCAACATAATTCTCATTTTAACAAATAATGAAATATTTACTTCCATAACAGCAAAGATGTTACTGCATCTGAAGAATGATTTTATTCTCTTCTAAATTCTCTCGAAGCTTGAGTTTTCCTAACAATTCCATGCTTAAAAAGGAGAAAGAGTAGTCAAATAAAGCCAGATAATAGGAGCTGGTTCCTGACTTCTGATTCACAAACATGGCATGAGAGAATCAAGGTTTTTAGGTTCATTTTTTTTTTCTTTTTAATATAGTGATAAAATGTTTCGCTACATTAGCGAAAGGAACTTAAAAGTGCAATTGAGAATCAACTTTATAAAATACTAATCAATAATAACAGCAAGAATTAGAGATTAAGCTTCATAGAAATGCTATATAGATTACCATATTTAACTATTCAGGGGAATAATATAGAAAAATACTGTGTTTCAAAGTTTAATTTAGTTCAAGATTAACTAAAACACACTTTCTGGTTAACAATAATATGCCAAATGTGATAAGTCCAAAACAACTTTTTTCTGATAACTTTTAGTATTATTTAAAGTTAAGATTTTGATATATCCTAAATTGATCTATAAATTTCACAACTGTATTTTCTCAAAATGTACTGTCTGCGGCAGTAGACGAATACTCCAGGGAAATCATTGTTTTCCCTAAGGTCATTGAGAGAAATATCATGATGTCACATTTTGTTGATCTTCTATAACTACATTAAAATATTATTAGATTTTTCTTGTCCTTTATATAAAAAAATTACAGGAAAAAATCCCTTTATCTCTGTCAGGCATGTGTGTGGAACATATCAAAAGTTTAACAATGACTTTCTTTTTTAACTTGTTTATATTTTTAAATACCTTTTCTCTAACAATGAACTTTAAGTGAAATGGTATCCCTCTTTCCAGAGTACAGTGAGAGTTCAAAAATAAACCCATCTTTCCCTAATGGTCTGTCCACTTTCAATCATCATTGTCTTTTTTTTTTTTATGAATTAAAAATTCTAGAATGCCAGCACAAAACAGGATCTCATTAACTGGTTTGTCTTTCTCAATTTTAGCATTGGGAGGCTGTTGTGTGGTAGATCTAGACTTGCTTCTAATGTATTTGTTCTAATAAAACTAGCAGATAATGTCCTTGGGGTTGTTTTTCTACATAATAATAGATTTTAGTTCTCTGACAATTTAAAGATCAATCAACATTTGATTGTTTCCACATGTTTCGATACAAGCCTATCACTTTTTATAATTGTTTAAAATTTTTTCTCAGCTTACCTAATAAATATCCTAATCAAAGGGATCATATAAGACTCAAAAACGATTTACGCCCACAAAGGCAGAGATAATCTGCACAGAGTGATTATGAAGGCCTGGTAGAGAATCTTGTTCCTCCTTCAATCTTAGAGTTTGAACCACGAAACCAGTCTTGTCAGTTGTAGCTAGGGAAGGAGTTTAGGACGGTCATTCTGTCTTTTTCTTTGAGTAGGATGCACGATAACTTTAGACATTGATTTGGGTAGACCTCTTTTTTTTTTTTTAAGCTCTGTGTCTTTTTTTTCTAACTTTTAAACATTCCTCGCCTTCCCATTCTTTAAAATGACCTGAAAGCAAATATGTTAGCCTCTCAAAAGGTAGGCTTTTTTGAGAGAAGATATATTTCTTTGAAAGAACAACAGAGAAAGAGCTTCCATGCAGATGCACTCCCCAAGTGGCACCCCCAAATGCCAAGGCTAAGCCGTATGAACCTCCCACTGAGTGGCAAGGATCCAAGCACTCGTGTAGTCTTTCACTGCCTTCCCAGGCATATTAGCAGGAAGCTAGATTGGAAGCACAGCAGACCAGACACAAACGAACATTCTAGAATGTGACACCTGCATCCAAAGTCATGGCTTCACCTACTGCACTGCAGCACCAGCCTCAGCAGTTGTTTACACATTTCCTAAAAACGACTTACAGATGCCAACGGGAAAAACCATTGTCCTTCAACATGTAACATAAGCCGTAACTGTTAATTATAAGGAGAAGTTTGCTTTTTTAAAACTTCAGTCACTAAGTCTGAAATTACAAACACATCCTCTAATTTGGCTTATGTGTTATTAGCCAACAGGCAAATAATACTAGTCTTAAATAATATCTACACAGCTTTTGTGACAGTAATTCCTAAGTTCAGTTTTCACATAGAGCATTTTCAGATGTGAATGTTTACAATGTAAATGATTAAATAATTGACCACTCACTGCGTGCTGGGCACCGTGCTATCTACTGAATAGCCATTCTGTTAATTAGTCCCTGGTCACTTCCCTGAGAAGCATGGAAAAGTTAGGGTCACCTGATAAAGCTAGCATTCAGTCTGTGTCAGAGTTCAGAGTACATGATGTTAGCTATTAAAATTGCCCATTTAGATATTCTCATCTCCTCAACCTGTCATATTTACAAATCGTTGAGGACTCCTAAGACTCTAGCTTTCCCACCCTTTGAAAAATCACTTTAGACCTTTAAGGTTGCCAAGAGGAGAGGTATGGGCTTTGGAATCAGAGAGAGATTTAAATACTAGGTCTGCAATTTATTATCCACATGAACTCAAATTAATCTATCTCTATACTTGATTTCACATTTATAAGGAAGAGGTAGAACATTACAGACATGGCCCAGTTGTTGTCTGCAGTAGTCAGTTCTTGAATATCATGACTATTACAGCCTACCAGGTAGGATGCCTGTCGGTTATGAGTACCCAAACTTGCTCTCCAGGCCCGCCCCTGGCTCCAGCTTCCTGCAGATACAGAGATGCTGCTTCACGTAATGGGTTCCTGCCACCCAGAGGGAACTTGGGTTGAGTTTCCAGCTCTAGTGCAAGCATTTGGGGAGTGAACCCATGTATGTTTTCTCTTAAAAACTTTTTAAAAGATTTATTTAGTTTTATTGGAAAGGCAAATTTGCAAAGAAAGATCTTCTATCCACTGGTCACTCCCAGATGGCCACAATGGCCAGAGCTGAACTGATCCAAAGCCAGGATCTTCTTCCAGGTCTCCCACACAGGTGCAGGGTCCCAAGGCTTTGGGCCGTCCTCCACTGCTTTCCCAGGCCACAAGCAGGGAGCTGGATGGGCAATGGAGCAGGCAGGCAGACAAAAGGGGACTCTTATTGATCCATTGTGCTGACCTCTCGGTTTCTTTTAAACTCTAATTTTGCTCTTCTAACTGTCTCCTATTCTAATTCCAAGTCTGTTAGTTTTTATTCTTCTCTATTTAGTGTTTTCATTATGTAATTGCATTTACTGTGTATCCACCATGTGCCAGGATCTTTGCATATGTACTCATTGGTCCTCAAAACAACTTCGTAAGATAACTGTCTGCATTTTACATATTAGAAGCTGTGACAGGTTACTTTGCTCGAGTTTGAACAGTTAATAAGGACAGGAGTTTGGCACAGCAGATGAATTGTCACTTGAGAGGCCTGCATCCCATGTCTGGGTGCCCTGGGTACCCTTCTGAAGTCCCGGCCACTCACAGGGGATGCCTAGGTGCACTTCTGGCTCCCAACTTTACTCTGGTTGTTACCGGCATTTAGAGAAGTCAACCAACAGATGAAAGTTGAATTGCTCAAACTTTCTCCCTGTCTCTTTTGCTGTCTGCATTTCAAAGTAAAAATTACTTTTTGATATTTTTTCAAGATTTCTTTATTGTTACTGGAAAGGTAGATTTGCAGAGAAGGAAAGACAGATCTTCCATCTGCTAGTTCACTCCCCAAGTGTCTGCAACAGCCAGAGCTGATCTGACCCGATCAGAAGCCAGGAGCTTCTTCCACATCTCCCACATGGGTACAGGGTCCTAAGGCTTGGGACCATCTACTGCTTTCCTGGGCCACAAACAGGTTGCTGGATGGGAAGTGGAGCAGCCAGAACACAAACCAGGTCCCCCATGGGTACTCAATGCATGCAAGGCGAGGATTTAGCTACTGAGCTATCATGCTAAGCCTAAAAATTACTTTTCAAATCTAAAGAAAGCCATCTAGTAAAGCAATATACTTGAAATTTAATCTGGGACTATGCCCACATTCTTCTTAATATTCATGGGCATTGTGGCACAGGTAAAACACCACTTGCCAATTCTACATCCCCTAACAGAGTGCCAGTTCAAGTCCTGACTGTTCCACTTCTGATCCACCTTGCTGATACAATCTGCCTAGGAAGGCAGTAGAAGAAGGCCTGAGGACTTGGGCCCCGCCTCCTATAGTAAAGACCAGAATGAAATTCCTGGTTCATGGCTTCAGCCCAGCCCAGCCCAGCCCTATATATGTGAGGGCCATTTGAGAAGTGAGCCAGCAGAAGGAAGATCTCTTCTCTGGTACTCTCTGTACTACTCTTAAATAAATCTTCTAAAGAATAAACTCACATATCGCATTTTAGTTCAGTAACTTGACCACTTTTAAACAGGTCATTCCCGTCACTGACCAAACCATGGCTGACAATCCACTGCATTCCCCTTTCAATCAATAGATTCCTAAAGTTAGTCATGTTATTTATCATAAGTTAATGATAATCTGCAATATATGGATCACTGTTATGAAGACAGAATCACTGTGAGCACTGTAGGAGTTACTAATCCCTGCATCAAACACAAACATGGGATCCCTTCGGAAACTTTGCCCTTTCAGATATAATAATAGTGCAAATAAATCAGCATTCTTTATGGTCCAGGTAGCATACAAGACAGTAGGATATGAAATGAAAATTAGGTACCACTGCATTCTTTACATGTAAACTGAGGCATATCCACTGTAAGTTACTTGTGGAATGTGAGAATGTTGCATACATAGCACAAGTACGATTTGCCAGAACTTGAGGACGTATGGATAACTATACACCACAAACACTAGGCATGAGTGGGAGGAGGTTTACCTAAACATGAGGAACACAAGAAGGAATTGCTGGTTTTGAGGAAAATATGCTTTGAATTGGGTAAACTCTTAGTGTTTTCCACCACAGCTTCCTATAGTGGTAGCCATATGCTCCATCTGCACTGTCCAACATGGCAGCCACTAATCACGTGGACCTGAGCACTTGAAGTGTGGCTGTAGACAGAGGAACTGCATTTTTATTTGGTTTCAGTTAAAGTTTATTAATTTAAATTTAATGGGGCAGTAGCTACCGTATTGAGCACTTCAGTGCTAGAGCTTTTATTCCCAAGCGGTTAGGATAATATGCTACCAATACAGTTAATTGAATCTCTCATAGACCCTTTCTCTTCTTTTTTCCTGTCTTAACTTGTGTTGTCAGTTGGTAAGTATAGCATCCGTATACAAAGCAAAACCATGTCATTGTCAAGCATCACCGTCCTAACTGCATGCTCAACTCTGCTCTGGAACACCATCCTGACCACACTGCTCTCCACTCCGTGGTTGACATCTGTAACTTTCTGCGTTGTCTCTCTCATGTCTGTTACCTGTCTTGTGTTTTTGTTTTCTCACTTCTGCTTGATACGCCATCCTCCATTCACAACAAAGAAAGAAACGCAGTGATAGTTCTCTTCCTCCCAAAACCTCCGCTAGAGAGCATTGGCCATCTCAAGGTAAACAGCCCCGGGAAGGCCGCCTGTGCCTGGGGGGAAACGCCTCACCCGGAAAGCATGACTGCTGCTCTTCCATCCTCCTCTGCCATCCAGCCGCAGCGCTGCCCTGTAGGCGGCCACGAATTCCTAGCCTGTCCACTGCCCAGTGTGGACACACTATAAACCAGTTCAGATGTTCAGGATGAATAAAGTTATGCAGAAATGACTTCCTCCTCAAATCTTGAAGGGCTGTCTCATTTCGGTTAGCATGAGGAAGATACTTGAAGAAAAGGGCAGCTGACCTACATTATGAATTGACAAAGTTTTTTCCTTAGTAGTATATATGTTAAGTATAACATTTGGCCTTAATCACTTAACACATCAGTAGGAGCTGTACTCCTTACTGAACATTTTTAGTTTTCATTTAAGTAGTTTAACCTTTAAGCACAAAGGTTTATACTAGATGGAGAGGCTAACATAATTATTTCTGAGATAGAAGTGTTACTTAGGGGCTGTACTGGCTAACAAATCAAAAGTTCCCCCTTACAAAGTAAGGATTTCTATAAATTTAAGCCTGCAACATGGCTGGTATTTTGCTTGTTTGCAACACAAAACTTTCATGTGCCCACAAGCCAGAAAATCTGGATGAAAGTGCTTTAGAACACCAAGGTACATGAAAGTTTGGGGAAAAAAAAATTGCAGGTTTTCATACAAAATTACTGGAATTATGCAATCTTTTTGTGATATACATTTCCCATGAACATTTTGATGATCCTGCAATATATAGAATGTTTCTAGATTATTTCTTGTGTAATGCTTTATTCATTCACCTAGAAAATACTTGAGAACTTAGCATGTCCAAGATCCTGTAGTTTTGTTTTGCTGTAAACACACAATTCACAGAAATAAAACAGAGGTGAAAAACTACTTTGTGACACAATGATTTTTCCTTATTTTAACATTTTGCTGCTTTTAAAATTTTACATTACTTGCTATGCCTGAGTGGTGTAATTGCCCAAGTTTCTCTCTTCTAAATTAAGAAATTTACAGAGTGAGTTTGTCCTTTTCCTCTGACTTGCAGAGGAGAGTGCTCATGTTGCCTTTGCCTGGAATGTATCTGTCTTCATCGTAAAGCCGCAGTTGAGCACCCAGGGTGTGTTTTGGCCTCACGATCCTGACTTCCTTTTTGCAGTCTTTGGTTCCAGGACTGGAGCTGCTTTTTCCCACACTGGGGGTAGTAAAGCTCCTTTTGGTTGTACCCTGAGCCCCAGAGACAGAGCCTAGCCCTTCCCTCCTGCTCCCTGAGCTGCCCCCTGCATGCTAGTGGTGCCCAGATCCCATTGTTTCTGGCCTAAAGGTTTTGCTTCCCATCGCTTTTTCCAGGGTTCCAGCCCTGAGATCATGCCACGCTTTCTTGCTATCATGAGGCCCTGAGCCACCCGATCAATGGGCTGGAACTATAGTGGTGGGCTGTTGTAGGAGGCAGGTTTGAGGCTGGCTTTTTCCCTCCAAAGACCTTCCTGAGACTTGGGAACCTTGGCACAGGTCAGTAGCAGAAAGGTCACTTGCTGTGGGCTGAGAGGATGGGTGCTGCACTAATGCCCTTACTGTCTCCCACAGGCTCCTACTCAGAGATTCTACCCAGTGAAGCTGCCACAGCCACGCAGGTAGATGGGGCTGACCTGGCCTCGCCAATGTCTCCTCGAACTAGCAAGAGCCGCATGTCCATGAAGCTGCGTCGTTCCTCTGGCTCAGCCAATAAATCCTAAGGAGCCGAGCAGGCCCCCGGCGAGCAGCAGCCACCTTAGCGCGAACACAGTGTTAAGCCTGTCTCGGGCCTTTGTTTCGGCCAGAGCATGCATGTTCCTTTGTGTACATTTGAGAAAACACTGGATTTAAATACTTTGTAACTTAATATTTTACATTTGGGTTATTTATTTGGTTTGTTTCCCCCTCGCACTCCAAGCTGCCCTACTTTGAGGGTGAGCAGAATTTTATTCTACACTCTTTACTTGCCTAGATAATTATGTCTAAATAGTTTTGCCTTTAATTTCATGATTAACAGTCAAAATATAATTGGACGAATAGTATATTTATTGTGTCCCATTGCAACTTTGACTCACTATATTTTTTTTTACAAATGTAAGATTTTAAGTTTAAACATTTGTAAAGTTATAGCAAAAGTTACAAATCTGTTAATACACAGGATGTGTACAGATTATTTATGTTTGAGATTAAAACTTTCAAAATAAATGACCTTATAGCATCTCGAATTCTACCAAAATCATTTTAGCAGTAACTCTTTCCTCCCAAGGCAGTGTCTCCTTTGCTGGCTGGGCAGCTGATGCCATGACACCCCGTTGACACAGAATCACCGTGCTGAACTTTGATTTAGCTGATGTTTGGCTTTGTAAGTGGTATCATTGTGAAATGCCATTTCTCTTTTGAGATTGTGGCCCTTTATTCTGGGCTACTCAGCCCTGGTGTATCCATATTCTCTCTTAAGTACCAAAAAGAAGGGGAAGGGAGGGAAGAAGGAAAAAAAGAAACACTTTCTAGATATTAAGTGTGTTGCTCAAATTATGTGTATTATTTTTAAAAAGAAAAAGGAGCACAATCCAGGGGTGTGAGTTAAATCTAATTTGTTAAAACTGAACTTGCAGGTGCAAGTCTTCCACATTCCACCCTTCAGAAGTGATTTCCTGTAGTGGATACGTTGCTCACGTTTTGTTTTGAATGAGCATCTCCCAAGGAAACGTATGTAGCATGCCATGGGTACTAACTGCATGTGTAAATACATCATACTGGCAAGCCATAACATAAATTATGTATTATCACTCATGTAGTATCTACAGATTTGTAACAGTGGGGGGAACGATGACATGGTATTTAATAATACAATAAAAATATTCTTATCACTTCCTGTCCATGAGTATTGATTTGTCTTCTGTATTTCACGTATTTCCAGACTTATTAAGTAGGCCCTTCTGATCAGCAAGGAAATTTTATCCATAAACAAAACTATCTTATCTAATCACAAAAAAATGCTAGACGCCCTTTATTTATTTATGCTAAATTCCCTTTAAAAGACACACTCCAGTTTACCTGAGTTCCTACCACACTTGTTTAAAATGTGCCGTTCAGAGTTCCTGTGCACTTAATTTTATATTAGGAATAAAAACTAAAATTTCTGTGAAATCTTCTGTAGAAGCAAAGGGATAAGGACTCTTGAGAAAAAGATGAAACAAATTTTCCACAGCCAAGTTGAAGAAGTAGCAAAAGTAACTGCTTACATGCTTCCCAAGCACTTTCTTAAAATATACATATATGTGTATATATATTTATATATGGTTGGCATGTTTAAAAATGAAGTTAAAAGCAAATTAACACCCAAATTTGTTTCAACTTCAAGCTAACATATTCATTAGTTTTTTCTTTAAGAAAACATGTTTGCTGCTGCTGTTGGAGAAACTATCATTTTAGGATAGATGCTTTGCCCAGCTGTTCAACCACCCTTGTGGAGTACTTGCCATTGCCTATCTGTTCTGGTTGCAAAATCTCCTTTGTATTCATCTAAATGGGTCAATAAGCTCTAAGACCACTGGCTTCTGGGGAGATAAGAAATTTGGCTTCAAGAACAGATTCTTGAAACAAACACGACAAAGCACAGTTCATGAATGTTTATTTGGCGGTGAACATCTTACAGCTACGAGTTGTCAGGCAATGTTCAGCCAGTGTCCCACATGGCGACTGAAGCATGCTTACAGAATGTACACTGAGAATGGTTTACAGACATTTCAAAACCAAGTTGCCTCTGAAAGGAAAACGAATATCGAATCAATTGCCATTCACTTCCACAGTGGGTTATAGGAATAACAGCTTCCTTCAACTGAACGTGGTTGTGTAAATAATACAGCATGAGATTCACAACAGAAGCATTAAACAGTTGGAGTGAACCCTTATGAAACAAACTCAAGGGAAAAAAAAAAAGCTGCACTTCAAAAAGCTATTTAAAGGAAGGCTCTAAGTAATTCATCCTGAATACTGCACACAAAATAGCTAGACAAGAATCTGCGGTGCCCCCAGCTCCATCCAGGAAAGGAGCACCCACCCCACTGCCAAACACTGAAGAATGGACTAGGACAGAAACTTGGGGAAAATGGAATGTTACCAGGAGCTTCTCAAACCCCCCAAAGCAGCACACACACTCCTGTTCCCTGCCCATGGACACACATCTTGAATCCAGTCCCCCTGTAAGTTTGGCACCAATCACACAACTTAATTCACAGAATATACAGTGCAGAATATCTGACCCTATTGAGACAGAAACTATATAGGCGCCTGTGATGGCGACAAAAAGGGGGGCGGGGGAATGATGGCTGCCACTTTTGGTAGCCAGAACCATCTGTAGACACTGAGATACAAACGCACGCAGTGTGACTTTCCACGGGAATTACAAATCATAGGTTGTGTCGGGAACTCCCGAGCCTGGGATGAGGAGGGAAGGGGGAAAATCCCATTGCAGTGGGGGAGGACTTAAAGCTGACAGCGTGTGAGTGTTTACTCCTTATACATACCTGCTCTAGAGACTGATTTCACATGTTGCTGGCCGCCCTTCCGGCAGAACACTGACTACTGGGAGTATTAGAGAAAGCCTGGGAAGGAGAGCAAACTTCCAAGTAGAAGGAAGCCCGACAGAAATACTGAAGGTATGTTCTTCTCCAAAGCCAACTTCACCATCCGCACCTTCCCAGCCCTCAACAGCCGGGCCGCAGTGGCATCTGCAACAGCAATACCTGCCGACTTTCGGAGGGGTGGCACTTGTTGATGTGCCGGGTCAGCCCCGGGGAGCTAAAGAAAGTGGACGGGCAGTGCTTGCATGAGAAAATCTGCTGCGGGCTCGCGTCCGGGGCCCCGCCTGGGCCCGGCACTTCGGCAGGAGCCCCAGCCAGAGCGGGCAGGAGCAGCTCCTCGCGGACGGCATGCCAGAGACGGTGCTTCTCTCGGATATCCGCGGACGGGAAGTGAGCCCCGCATAACGGGCAGGCAAAGGCGAGCGGGCCGCCGCGATCCGAGCCGAAGCCCGGAGCGAGGGTGCGAGCAGAGGCCGCCTCGTGAGTGCCCAAGTGCTTCCGCAGATAGGCTTGGCGACGGAACTTTTTGTGGCAATAGGGGCACACGAAGATCTCAGAGCCGCCACCAGCGCCAGCACCGCCCGGCCCGAGCACCCGGCGCCCCAGCCCCCGCTCGGGGTAGGCGATCTGGGGCAGCGGCGGCTCCGGCTGCGTCAGCAGCTGCAGGCCCTGGCGCGGGGCGCTGTCCAGGTGCTGATCCTGCCCGGAGCTGTCCCCGGCCCGTGGGTGCTGATCCACTGTCCGCTCCGCCCGGCTGTTCTCCTTCCCCTCCGCCAGGAAAGATGCGGCCACCCCGGAGACGGGGGACGACGAGGACGAAGACGATGGTGCTGGCGGCGGCGCCTTTCCGTCGTTGGCAGAGACAGTGGCGTTTGCCACCCCGGGACGTGGCTTGTGCCAGCGGCGATGAGAGGCGAGGTTGGCGGGGCAGCTGAAGACCTTGTCGCACTCGGGGCAGCGGTACTCGACGCGTACGATGCGGGAGCAGCGGTGCTGGGCCAGCGCAAAGGGGTCCGCGTACTGCTCCTTGCACAGCTGACAGATGAACTCCCCCAGCGGCGTGCGGTTGCCCCCCAAGCCCCGGGGTGGCACGCCGGGTTCCTCCTCCTTGATCTTCAGGCCCAGGACAGGGGATGTGGTCACCTCGTCTGCGAAGCTCAACTTCCTCATGGCCTTTGGCTTCTTGATTCCCGCAGCCATGGGTCCAGACACACAGCCCAGAGGTCCCTTGGCACGGCGCTTCAGGCCAGGCAGGGTAGCCACGACAGGCGTGGGCTCGGGCTGGAGTGCAGGCTCCGGGAATGGGACCCGCAGCGGCAGCAGGAACGGGTCCCCCGGGGTCGGGGCGCCTGCAGGCGCCACCGAGCAGGAGAAAGCAGCCACCGCTGCGGTGCCCCCGGGGAAGGACTCCGCAGAGACGGGCGAGCTAAGGCAGCGATCCAGAAACGCCCGACGCAGTTCCGTGCTTGCCGGCTTCGCTGGGCTGGGACTGGGCCCGGCACCCTCCCTGCCATCGCCCCTCCACTCCGTGCCTCCCTGTCCACCCGCCTCGGGGCTCACCCCACTCGCCCGACAGGGCGACCCTGACAGCTCCCAGGCTGCCTCCGTCGGCCTCTTTTCCAGGTGCTCCTCCGGGGCGCGGGGCGCCTCCTTCTCCGCACTGGGCAGAGTGGAGCAAGGGGCGTCCCCCGGAAAGGCCGGCACCCCCTGGGGCCCCGGCAGAGGGAAGCCTCGCTCTGCCAGGCGCAGCCGGTAAGAGCCGCCAGTCCGTTTAGTTCGCTTCACCAGGAAGCCCCTTGGCATGGTGGGGTCCGCAGCGCTGGGGGGCCAGGAGGAGTGGGGGTACGCAGGGGCTGAATGCCGGCAGACTCGGGAGCCACATGGGCGGTCATGCCCGCACCGTCTTTATAGCTGAGACGTGCCTTGGGGGTGGGAGGGGGCCTGAGGGGCCGCCCCTTCCAATCCCAAGTGGGAGCGGGCACAGAGGCGGAGCTCTCGGACCCGCCTGGGGAGGAGGTGCACCTGCCCCACCCCGCAGCAACTCCAGGCAAAGACGCTAGAAGGTGAGATCCGGAGCGCAGTGCTCCCTCCCGCTCCCAAACCTGGGCTCTGCCAAGGGGAAGCTAAAAAGACGACCTCTGAGCATCAGCAGGGAGCGGGTCACACACTGAGAAGCTGCAGGCCGGCTAGCCCCACCGCGCCGCGCCTACACTTGGTGGCAGGATCCCGTCTGCCAGGCAGTATCGATCGGCGCCGTGCGCCTGTGATACTATGAGAATCCATCTGCCCAGAAGGGCTCTCAGCGCCGGCCGTGCGTGCTGGCGGCTGCCCAGCTCCAGAACACAGCAAGGTTCAGGCCCCGGGGCCTCCAAGCTGACAAGTATCCCCCCCTCCCTTGGAGCCCCACCATGCGCCCAAGAGCCGGGAGGGGAAATGATCCAATTTCCACTGTCCTCATCTAAAGTGGCTTCTCCGCTCACACTTCCTCCCACTCGAACACCCAGAGGCATGACCTCATGCCTCCCTGAGCCGCTTAGCATGGAGAAGCTCCAGAGAGAACTGCGGTGAAACCCGCACCACACGTGCCACCCACACGCGGCCCCGCCAAGGAGAGACCCGAACTCCACTAACCAGCTTTGCCTCCCCCACGCCCGCCGCAACAAAATGGAGAGGTGTGTGGCACTTAGGGTGAAATGAGAGGCTAATGAGACAACGTGACGGCTAAAATTGTCCAAGCGCATGATCTGGCTAAGTTCATGGAGAAAGAAGGAGGAAAGAGCAGTGCATCCAAGTCTCCTGCCCTCGGTGGGTTCAGAGCAAGAGACCCAGGGAGGCCGCATTTCCCAAGCCGAGTGCAGCATTGTGGAGCTGATTGTCAACGAAACACATTGCGTTCCTAACAGCAATATTTTCGCATGGAGATCCTTAGATGAGTTGGAAGTTATTACACATATATTTATGAATCAACTCTGTGTTAGGGGTTCTGTTCAAACCAGCTCTGATCACACACACACACACACACACACACACACACACACACACACACACACACACACACTCTGGAAATAAGTAGGATTCTCCTTTTCTAATGAAAGAACCGAGCCACAGAAAAATTAGGCGAAGGTCATACACAGCCCAGAATCCAAACGAAGGCTGGCCAACTCCAAAAACAGACTCAGCACTTTGCCAATGGCTCCAAACTGTTTTTTTTCCAGATCACATCCCACAGCTAATTTTTTTTTTACAGCACACACACATGCTCACATAACAAAGATTTCACAAGATCACAATTCCCTCAGCCAGCTGCCATGTACTCTAACATTGCCTATTAATTCCATTGCATTTTTTCTAAATATTAGTTATAGCAACCAAATGAACTTCATAACTGAAAAATGGGTCAAGACCCATAATTTGAAAATCATGTGTATAGTCCTAAATAGTATTAAATTATACAAACTTACAGTAAACCTGGCAATTAAAATGAGGATTCCAAATCACATTTATAATATTTGAATCCCTAATAGTGCTGGTAAACTTCATTTCCCCAATTGGCCATGTTTGATTTGTCACTTCATGTGTAACTGCTAAGTAAAATTCTGCCCAATTCTTCCCTTCTCATACCCAAATACACCATGGTATGAGAATCCTGAAGGGAGAACCTTAACACTGCCCAGCAAGAAGCACTTTTCCCTGGAGAGGTAGTACTTTGCAAGAACTGCTGCCAAGTATTTTCTAGGAAGTCCAGTGGTTCCCATCTTCCTCCCATCCACTTCCTCCCAGGTGCAATCAGTAACAGCTTTTATGGACATCAGTGTAACCACCATAATGAGAGCTTTAAGAGAAACACACAGGTTGGGTCAGGTGTTAAGGCTCTACCTCCTGAATCCAGTGCGTTGCTGATTTCCACCAAAGTAACTGTTCCACTGATCTCTTCTTGCCCTGTGAAGCCACTATGTGTGTGACACAAGCCCTGAGTCCCTGCCACCCTTGTGGGAGATGCGGATAGAGTGGGCATCTCCTGCGTTCAATCCTGCCCAGCCTCGGCTTTGATGGTATATCGCTGGGTTTGAGGGCTGGGGGTGTTGGGTGTGCACCAATGAATGGGGGTGCTTTCTTGCACATACTCTCTACCTATTTCTCCTGTTAAGCCATAGGAAAGAAGAGCAAAGATACAAGCACAGAGCCATTCATCACAGTGGAAATAACTGGAAACCACCTTGGGCACTGACGCCTCAGGCGGGGCCTTCCGGCTGCACCACAATGCCCACCCCACTATTTCTCCCTTTAAACACTTAGGACTTTCATTTGCTCTCAGCTGTATTTTGCCAGACAGAGACATACATTAGACTATCTTTCCAATGCATGTATCTTAAATTTCCTATCTCCAGTTATGAAATAAATTACTGTAAGTTCAGAAATTTTGAGATAATAGAAATCAGGAATACTTGTGAAAACTTACATCTTCTTGCCTTGAAGCCACGTGAGTGTTAAACAAGATCAGATCACTTACTTTGTATCACTCTGGGTTCAGGGGGCTTGTTAGAGGGACCACCGCACCTTTGCCTCCACGTGGGCATGTTCCTCTAAAGAGCCAACACCCACTGCAGCTACTACAAGTGGACTGTCACCCAAGAACTTGGTAGTCAGTGATTCCACACAAGTCTCCGTTTCCTCTGCTGAACCTAATCTCCATCTCAGTATTCCTCCTATCACAAAATGGCATCTTCATTCAGGGCAAAACACACGCTTTTGACCCATGCTCCACACCTTCTCCACTCATTAGCACTAAATCCTCAATTAAAGTTTCAAGGTCCTTCCTGAATCTGCACACCTCTCTACCACTGTTGGGCACGTGGTCTCTTGCACCTTTCCATGCCCAACTGGAGTGCACTCTTTCTTCAGCAGCAAGATGGAGCCCATTGGGATATCAATCTGACCATTTCAATGCCCTTTGTCCAAAATCAAGAAACTTTTCACATTTAGGATAAATTATTGGGGCCAACACTGTGATTCACCAGGCTAATCCTCCCCCTGCAAGTGCCAGGATCCCATAAGGGTGCCACTTCATGACCCAGCTTCTCCAGTTCCCATCCAGCTCCCTGCTTATACCCTGGGAGAGCAGTGGAGAACAGCCCAAAGCTTTGGGACCCTGCACCTGTATGGGAGACCTGGAAGACACTCCTGGCCCCTGGTTTCAGACCGGCTCAGCTCTGCCATTGCAGCCACTTAGTGAGTGAATCAGGGGATAGAGGATCTTTCTTTCTCTCTGTAAATCTGCCTATCAACTAATAATATTTTTTTTATTTTAAGAGTAAATTATTGCCTGGCTGTTCTTTTTTTAAACAGAGAAGCAGAGAGCTAGATCTTTCCATGTGCTGATTCACTGCTCACATGCTAAGGCTGGCTCAGGCCAAAGCCAGCAGCTGGGAACAAGGTCTCCCACATGGATGGCAGGGACATAATTATTTGAGCTCTTGCCTGCCGATACAGACTGTAGAAAGAACTGGTAGCTGCAATCTTATTCTTTATATAAATCCATATACATATATGCATATATGTATACACACCTTTCAAATAAATAAAATTTTAAAACATCAGAAAGACCCTTCCTGATCACCTCACCTAAAATAGTAGGCCTATCCTCCAATATACAATATCATTTGCTATTTCTCCACTCAGTTTCTCCTTCTTCCTGGCATTTATCACTGTCACTACATGAGGGTACTTGAAAGTGTTCATGAAAAAATAAAGTTTGGGCCCAGAGCGGTGGCGCAAGTGGTTAAGGTCCTTGCCTTGCATGCCCGGGATCCCATATGGGTGCCCAGTTCTATCCCAGCAGCCCCGCTTCCCTTCCAGCTCCCTGTCTATGGCCCGGGAAAGCAGTCGAGGACGGCCCAAACCCTTGGGACCCTGCACCCGCGTGGGAGATCCGGAAGAGTCTCCTGGCTTCGGATTGGCACAGTATCGACCCGTTGCGCTCACTTGGGGAGTGAATCATCGGACAGAAGATTTTCCTCTCTGTCTCTCCTCTCTGTATATCCGCCTTTCCAATAAAAAATAATAATAATAAAAAAAAAAGAAAAAAGAAAGTTTGCAAACTCCATCTTTTTTCACAAACTCTGTGTAGTACTCACATATAGTATTTGTCATCTGTTGCCTCCCAGTAAGCTATAAGGTCTTTGAAGGCAAGTTCTTTATTTTGTTCATAAATGGAAATCCAGGGCCTGGCACAACGGCTCAGTGGATAAACTCTTGCCTTGCATGCATCAGGATCCCACATAGGCACCAGTTCATGTCCTGGCTGCTCTATTCTCCATCCAGTTCCCTGCTCATGGTACAAGAAAGCAGTAGAGGATAGCCCAAACCCTTGGGACCTTGCACCTGCATGGGAGACCTGAGAAAGCTTTGGATTAACTTGGCTGCAGCCATCAAGGCCACCTGGGGAGTGAAGCAGCCAATAGAACATCTGTCTCTCCTCTCCATAAATCTGCCTAATGAATAAATAAATCTAAAAAAGGCGGGGGCGGGGGGGTGCAGCACAGTAGCCTAGCAACTAAAGTCCTCGCCTTGCACATGTCAGCATCCCATATGGGTGTTGGTTCTAATCCCAGCGACCCCACTTCCAATCTAGCTCCCTGCTTGTGGCCTGCGAAAGCAGTCAAGGACAGCCCAAGGCTATACCCCCCTTCACCCATGTGAGAGACCCAGAAAAAGCTCCTGGCCTTGGATTGGCTCAGTTCTGGCCATTGAGGCTGCTTGGGGAGTGAATCAATGGACGGAAGATCTTCCTGTCTCTCCTCTTC